AGGGGAATTAAAACTCACCATGTCATATTTTTATTTTGTACTGGTGCTGTGTACCGCTGTGTACTAAGTGATGTGTGATGCATTCTGATTTGCCTCTGGATGATCCGGTGACCGCATGGAATAATTTCTCTGTTTCGACAGAGCTAAACATAGAACAAGACAAGACCATTACACGTGTAGTCCTAGTATTGGATAATAGAGATAATGCTTAAAGGGTACACATGTATAGATATAATAGGATAATGCTTTATTTATATTCTAATATTTCCCCGCAGGCTGATGGATCCGAGGTGACCATTAGGTTGAGTCGAAGTTGCTAAAAATGTGGTGTTGACAAAGGCTTGGTAAGTATGTCAACGATCTTATCAATCGTGCTAATGGGAAGAAACATATGATATTCTGTTGGATGTGTTCACAAACAAAGCGATGATCGATCTCGATGTGTTTGGTCCTAGCATGAAAAATGTGATTATTAGCGAGAGCAATGACAGAAGTATTATCACAGTGTAAATCAGTTGGTTGATCCAACTTTATGTCAAAATCAACTAAAATGCGACTCAACCATATGATTTCGGCTATAGTAGCTGCCAGAGCCCTGTATTCTGATTTTGTTGAAGAACATACTAGTGTATGTTGTTTTGTAACCGTCCAAAAAGTGATAGTTTTGCCAAGAAAAGAATAATATCCAGATGTGATTTTCCTTGATATCCTGCCCAATCAGCATCCGAAAAAGAATGGAGATTGAGCTCATTTTTTTACCATAGGAATGTCGAAGTGTTGTGTTCCACTAATGTAGCGAAGAAGACGTTTGAGAAGGAGAAGGAAAATGTGCTTTGAGAGAGGATTGTGCATTTGTTGAGGAATATATTGAAGGTTTGATCTATGCCAACAGTCAGTCGCTGAATGCCCTTTCTTGAGGTATATTTGATAGATCATAGAGAAAGCAGCCCACGATCGAGTAGCAGGAGCTGTAGTGGGAGGATAGCAACCTCTAGTTCGTCGACCGCATCCTCTGGGCGAATACAAAAGCCATTGTCGGATTGATACCTGAGGGATTGCGAGATGCATCCACGACAAGATTTATTTCTTTACTTAAAAGTAAAGAATATAGATTGTTAAGTCTTGCAGGATTAAGCATTGTGCGAATAGAGGTTTTAAAGGATTGATAGGATTGCAGCAGACCATTCAATAGGATAATGCTTTATTCATATTCTAATTGCTCTAACGCAAAACTAGTCAAAATATTAAAAGTAATTGTTTTGATCACTAATAATATGTGCGCATAAATGATATTTGGATTTTGTTCAAACTTTGATCTAAAATTGCTCGAACATACTCAAAGGCAAATTCATACCTCATTCCAACAATGTTCTTCGATCCATGCTTGACCAAGCTCAAATATACAATCATGATTTGAATAAGGTTTGAACATAATTCTCGCATATATATTAACAAGGTGATTTAAATAAGATATAATCATGTCTTCAAATAAAATTGAAATATGGATTAGACAATATTTGAACACGGAACGATCAATATTTAAACATGTTCAAACCATGTTCTAATGTGATTTATAATGTTCAAACAAAGATTAAATTATACATTGATGTATCATTTTTCTACAGGTAAATTAAATATTAATAATCTTATATAATATTGGAGAGAATTGGAAGAATACATGTAAGTTAGTTTGGCTTGGTTTGGGACTATTTTCTTGTTGTTTTATAAAGCAACTTTTTAGTATAAAAATTTTAATTTTTGTACTAAAAAGTTACTTTAAGAAGCAACAAGAAAACCGTCCCAAATGAAACCTAAGTCTCAGATCGATCCACTTTTTTAACCTCTAAGACCCGTTGATGCTAGTAAAGACCTCATCACAACCTGCTCGTTTCCTTTCGAGCGGGATTCATCTAAATACTTTCTCGTCTTAGATCCATCACCAAATTTATTATAGTCAGGGTTTTCATCATTAGAGTTGAGTTGGATGGCATATATATATAAATAATGAAAATTTAGATATTGAATATATAATTAATAAATATTTTAAATGTAATGTAAGTAAATGACTAATTTTTTTCTTTAATATATACTTATTTTAACTTATCAAGGGGTTTTCTTCCTTGAACGCTTTGAGTCCTTGAACGCTTTGAGTCGAAATAAAATTCGAACCCAATGGAAACCAAAGCGCGAACCCATATAAGTATATAACTCAACCAAAAATATTATTTTCCGCAACGAGCTGCGCGTCGCCACTCTGCTGCAAATTTGTTTCTCGAATAAGTTTTGCTAAATGTTTGTCGAATTCGCAGTCGATTCCAAGTTTCATTAGGTACCTGAATCGATCGCTGTTTTTGTTGTCTATCTTGTCTTTGATTGGAATCTGTTGCCTTCTTCTCTCCCATCTGTTTTTATTATTTTTTATTTTTTCTTTTGAGCAGATGAGTGGGTTTCCCTGGTCTGGATCGTATTGATGCGTTCTTACTAGTTGCTTTCATTTATTTTATCTAAATTTTGTTCGATTTTCATTCTGCCCTAATTCTATTGGTTTGACCTGATTGGGGTTTCCTTGGATATGGAGTTATTCTACTTGATTTCCATAAGTTCTCCGTCATTAATAGGTATGTTTTGGTTCGCGTCAACACAAAATGATGTAGAGTGCAGTTCAAAGATGGAGGTCAGCCGGGGCTTTTGCGAAGTCTGATAGCATTGCCGTATGCTATCAGCAATTGACATGTTGGATGGTAGCCTGATGGAGTTCATTCCCGTTATAAACTGTTGAATTTAATGTTCCAATTCATGAATTAAAAAATCTAAATGGGATTTACCAAAAATCACACCGGAAGTTTTTAAAGATTTGCCTAAAGTTGCTAAATTTTGTTTAAAAAATAAAAAATTACATGTTTCTTAAGTTTTTTTGAAGGGTCCCGGGTTTTCAATTTTCTAAAATGATGAGATATTGGTTAGTTAAACTAAGGCTTCTCTTTTTTTTTTTTTTTTTTTTTTTAAAGGTTCCTAGCATGCCATTTGAAGCTCTTATCATTCTCAAGAGAACGTAGTTGATTGCTAGGCTAACAAAGTATCCCATTTGGTTGGTCCAGATATCTTTGCCCATGCCCTTTTCTTGCTTAAGCCTCGGTTGTTCGTCTGAGACATATACTTTTCTTCATTGAGGTATATGCCTTAAGGCAGTTTGAGGCCCTGCCCGATCAATTTCATTTTTATTTTCAGTTCGGAAGAGTCGAGAGCGCTTATTAAATTTAGATTTAGGGTTTCATCGGTTCGAAATATTTGTTCCAATATTCACCCTCCTTTTGCAGTTCACAACAAAGGAAACACTCTCTCAGTTTCGTGTGCACAGCTTCAGCCTCGCCAACTTCGTCTTTGACTACTTTGGTTTTGACTTCTTCGGCCTCGCTTTGTATCAGATTGAGTTCTTCGTGATGAGGTAAAGATCTATCTTCCCTTTTGAGCCCGTGTAGGCTTCGACATCTTCGTGAGAAGCAATTATGAAATTAGTTTAGAAATCAAATATCTCTTTGCTGCTTGCCTTAGCTGCAGCTTGTGGGTGTAATCCTAATTATTAGTTTACAAATCCATATCTCCTTGTTGATTGGATTTTTTTTGTTTAGATGCATGAATGCCCATTCCTTCATTTAGGATACAATTGATACCCTTTTATGAGAATTTGTTTACTTTGCCTAGAATTGTTCCCAGTTAGTTTCTACTTTGGGCTAGTAGCTACAGGAATTTATGACTCACTAGCGAAAATTTCATTGTATATTTTGAAAAAAATTGGCGCCCACATCATCAAGACACTTGGAACCAAATCATGGTGAGATAAGATCCTGATAATATTTTATGAGTTATTTATAATTTTTTAGTACTTTAATTGTCCCGTTTTGATGCGTACGCCTTGATCTGCCTCGAGGCTTATACCTCACTTTGCTAAGAAAAAACACCTCGATTCTCAATATCTCCTTTTTAAACCTTGATAGATATAATGGCACTTGCCAAAATTTAAGACCATTTGTTGTGCCATTGAAAATTTGAATTCCCTTAGGATGGCCTTTAACTACATCATTACATATATGGATTGTACCATAAATCTACATTTCTATATCAACACATAATTTGGCCACTTTAGTTTATTTCTTACTCTTCTATGTGGCTTAGTTAACTCGCATAAATATGCAACTCATGTATGGATTATCTATCATCAATTTATCCATCATAGTTTGCATCAAAAAGATTTCTACATTGAGATGCCATTCTTACTGTATAATAGTCCTTTCTCTAGTGATGTTTTTATATGTTTGAGGATGCCCAAAATAACTTCCTTATATTTATATTTGGGAAATTGCATGTGTTGATTCATAACTCCTACTACAAAGGAGATATCTATCATATGAACAACATGATAGATTAATTTACTAGCCAACCTACGATAATGAGCTAAAAATTTCCTCTTTAGTAGTAGCAATATGAGTGTTAATTCAGAGTTATCAAGTTTGCAATCTAACATACTAGTTTCTTGATTGCTCAAGTTATTGAGGGGTTCACTTTGGTTTGGGAACGCGTATGTCCAAAGCTATGAGCTTGCAGACTTTTTTCTTATCGTCCCTGAAAAGGTGAACAGTTTTCTCAAGAAAGTCAGTGACATTTTTTTTAGCCCAGAAAACTTATTTTTTGTTGGCAAATTTTATTCATAAAAAGTATAAGGGACAGCCCCAAATCTTTAGTTAGATTTTTTTTTTCAAATAATAATGTTTTATTTCTATGATCACTTTTTAATTGCTCTCTATTAGTGAAATGTCATTTATATAGATGTCCAAGATAATAGTGATAGGAAGTGGATGCACTTCTCACAAAAATCAGTGGATGAAACATGAAAAATTTGGAAGAATGACCCAAAATAATTTTTATTGAAAGAACTATAAAGAGAAATGCAAGATACAATTGGATCTTCAATTGAAGAGGAAGATCCAGCTCTCCCAAATTCCTAGCCGCTGGCTAGAGCCAAGATAACCTAAGAATAAACTAAATTCAGCAAACTCCCGAAACATAATCTAAAATCACCCCATAGTTAGCCTTAAATAGGCTCCCATATTTCCCTCCCAAATTGGCCCTATTTCCCTAAATAAATTCCTCTCATATTTGAATTCAAATTATATTTATTTTCCTAATTAATTCCCTCCTAATTGTAATCAAAACATTCCTAAACAATGCCCCCTTAATTACTCCTCATTTTCCCTAAATAATTTCCCCTTAGATTTTGAATTCAAATTAGATCTCTTGCCCTAAATAATTCCTTCTTAATTGTAATTAAAAATTTTCCTAAATAATTCTCTTTGATTAAGAACCTTCATAAATAGTTCTCTTGATTAGGAAACTTTTTAATTCCCTCCCAATCAAATTGGCCTGTCCATCAATACTACCATTCCAAAGTGTCACATTGTCCTCAAGGTGGAACAAAAGAATTGTTGAAGCACTGGATTAATAACACTAGACTAAAAAGTGGATTGTCACTAGGTCGAATGATCTTTGCGTCCAGCACCTCCCTGATCAATCTCTCAATCTCATCCTCCTGTAGTTGGGGACAATGTTTAAAATTGCGTATTCGGGTATTGAGGCGTTTTTCATTCGTGAGGCGAGGCGTAAGCCTCAAGGCGTTTAGAGGCGTAAGCCTCAAAATCAAAAGATTGCGTAAACATAAAATGATAAATTTTTTAGAGCCCACAGTAATTTTAAACCATGGTTGGGGAGAATGGTATGGACGAACATTGATAAGTGAGACTTTGTCCTTTGAAGTGCTAGCTTGCTCGTGTTCCCACGGTGGAAGCAACCCATGAATTGGCTGGAATGCCTCTCAATATTCCTATAGGAGCGGTTGAACCATATTAAGTGTTTTTTATCTTCTCTCATCTTTTTTCCCTTCCAAACTTTGCAGTTTCATAAACAATCATGCTCCACCATTTCCCCTCCTTAGAAGTAGTTCCAAAGAAGGCATCTCATTTTCTTCCCCCAAAATTTCCACATCTTGATTCTCCCTAATTATCCCTATATTAGGATTTCTCCCATTTTCTTGTCCGGTCAACGATGCTCTCACTTCTGATATTGTTAGTTTTGTTGGGCCCTCAAGCTGCTTCTTTATCATCTCCTCCATAATGACTAATTTCTCATCGATCTTCTTGTAGATGGCTGAAAATTGCTTTTCAAAATCTGAAATCAGATTTTAATTGTTCGATCTCTCTTTTCAACACTTCTTCCTTTCTTTCCGCCATATGGATCTAGGCTCTAATACCAACTTGATAGGAAGTGGATGCATTTTTCACAAAAATTAGTGAATGAAACACGAAAAAATTGGGAAGAACGCCACGAACAATATTTTTCGAAAGAACTATAAAGAGAAATGCAATATACAATTGGAACTTAATTGGAGAGGAAGATCCGGCTCTCCCAAATCCTTAGCCGCCGACTAGAGCCCGTGCCCAAATAACCTAAGAATAAACTAAATTCAACAAACTCCCAAAACGTAATTTGAAATTACCCCATAGCTAGCCTTAAATAGGCTTCTATAATTTCCTACCAAATCAGTCCCATTTCTCTGAATATATCCATCTCAGATTTGAATTCAAATTAGATTTATTTCCCTAATTAATTCCCTCCCAATTGTAATTAAAACTTTCCTAAACAATTACTGCCACGACCCGTCCCGGATGCTCGATCTAACGAGGCGGGTACGAAAAGTCGGACGATAGTACATTTCCAAAAGTGTAAATTTACTCATCATCAAAACTTTTACAATAAACTGAAGAGCCCCTAAACAAAAAAAAGTTGTCACAATTACCCTTTAATTCCTCCTCTTTTTCCCTAGATAATTCCCTCTTAGATTTTGAATTCAAATTAGATATCTTGCCCTAAATAGTTTCCTTCTAATTGTAATTATTTTTTTTTTTCTAAATATTTCTCCTTTGATTAAGAACCTTCCTAAATAATTCCTTTTTTATTAGGAAACTTCCTAATTCCCTCCAAATAAAAGCGGCCAGCCCATCATAGAGCTAGATGAAGTGGCACTAATTGTTGATTGCCTGACATGTGAAAAGATACCAAAATTTAAAATTTATGATGTAATAGAAATAATAGCTGCAGGATTATATGACGAAATGACATGGGAGACAACCACCAATGCTTATGAGTTTTGGATTAGACAATTATAATTCTCCTGAGAAAGACGGGCAAACCTAGAAGAGGTAGTGGGATTGAAAATTCCAGTGGCAATTACAAATGGGCCATAAGCATGCTGCACAGTGGAAGTATAGCCAAATTTGGCCCATCAATTCTCAAAGATGATTAGTATGAAGACAATGAGAGCCAATGGACAATGTCTTCCCCCCTTTATTATGGCTACTATCTGTCTGGCTAATTCGACCACCACAATGCAGCATAGCAAGGGTAGACTGTTTAATCATCAGCGAGGAGGGATTAAGAACTTAGTAACTTGAATTTTAGAGAGCGGTTTCAAAGTTGATGATTGCATAATTTTCTGTCATTTGAGATTGTACATGTTAAAATGATAGATGAAGCCTAGAGAGAAACTTAATAATAAGGAACTCAATTTATTTTTGCCAGAACGTCAAATCAATAATAATGGACAAGAGTAGCTCTTATACTTTCTTATTTCTAAATTGGCAAATCATTTAGCTAGAGAGGAAATATGTCTGAGTAAAGGGTATCTTGGGATATTACTTTTTTGGAAGTATGTGGAGTAAAGAAAATCTCATATCGTCTTGGTTGTATCTTGAAACTTGACAATAGTGGCAACAGAGGGTTCATTACTATTGAGCAAGCATATGAGATCAACATAGTATGAAGTTTTGTATTTGGCATTGTTTATTTGTTTGAGAGACGGAGAGTTGAGATGACCAAGTTTCTCATAAAATTCCATAAGAAAACAATATACTCAAAATCATAAGAGATAGTTTGATGCTATTAAGTTTGATAGATGTACTAATAATGGATGAAGGTTTCATCTTCAGGAGAGTTATAGAGGAAGACATTGACATATACTCCACAAAGAGAACATAATAGAGAAGGGAATGTTTGGGGAAATTATAGATTTAGGCGCAGGCATGGGTGAAACTTTGCATGAGCGTAGGCTAAATGTGTCCTGGTCTTTTAGGATAAAAAGACTAGAACACTTTCATGCCCTGTATGCTTTTTCACAAAATAGAGAAAGTACATGCAATTTTTTTATAAAACTTCCAATTCACATTTTAAAGGCCTATGTAAAATCTCAACCTAATACCAGGGTAATTTTAAAGAGCCACAAGGAGTCAATTTGAAGATGCATATTGTACTGAATTCTGGGTGATCATTTGCATTTGTTGTTATTGCGTGTTGTACTGAATTCTGGGGGATCATTTGCATCTTATCAATTTTCCTTGC